GATTACGCTTGTCTGATACCCGGGATGAAGAAAATGACCGGAGAGGACGTGGACACAACTGTTTACTTCAGAACTCAACCAAAACTGGTGTCGTTGTGTCGTGTGTGGGGTTTGCGCGTGTGTATTTATACTCCGGATGTGTGAGTCATACATGCGCTAACATCGAGACCTAGGTGTGGGGATACTCCAAGATAAATATTCGTGCTAATGAAGGGGGAGTTGAGAATTCGTGCAGGTGGCGACATGCTGCGAAAACAGGGAACCCTGTGTATGAGGTGGAGCGACCGGATTGAGGAGTTGAATCAACACGATTCGCAATAATTCTACTATTATGGCTTTTGGGTGTTTATTAATTAAATTTATGCATTATGCTTGTAAACTGTCTATCTGCTAATTCATTTTGACTGGGGTTGAGATGTTTGAGGTGTCTTGATGCGTTTTTTGTGGAGCGGCTCAGTGGCAGCTCTAAGGATCTCAGCTAGTACTGAATTTTGAGTGAGTGAAAATGGGTAACAGGCATGTTATGGTGCAACCACACGAGATGAGATACGGGGTAATAAAGGTGGATTGAAAGGAGCCTGAAAATTAAACGTATGAATTGGTAGTAACCGATTGATTAAAATAGCAATACCTGACAAAGACCAGCAGATATTGGGTCGGTTAAAGTCACCACGTCGAACTGACTGACCATTCAGAGGCGCTTAAACGCCAACTGCCGCTGGCCCAAAGTATTGAAATGTCTATCAATGTGTACTCATTTCTCCATCTAAATATGTGTGCACAAGTGCGAAATTCACCGCGAAACTTACAACTGAAGCTGTCCAGTGCTATCAAAGATGGTCTTAATTTATAGCTATGGATATCTATAGTTGGAGATACTTACAATTAAACGACGATTGTGGTCGTAACGATCGGGCCGAAGATGTAGTGAATCGTGTTGATGCACCCCGTCGTCGCAGCCTCGCACACATGGTCCCCTTTTCACGGCGTGTCCGTTAGTCACTAGGCCAGCCTGCCCATTCACCCCTCAGTACGTACCACCACCACCCGCGCGCTCCATGTAACCATTCAGACGTCCGCATCTTTACTAGTCCACTCAACTGTATCAGTCAACACAACACAACTTCGTTCAGCTGTCTAGTAAACGGATGTGCCTCGTCCTCTTCGGTCCTCATCATAGTGGAAACATGGATTCAATCTGTTATTTGTGATATTTAGCAATGATGGACAGCGATCAAGCCAGACCGACATTTGTAGAAAGCGCTGCATGGAAGTAGAATCAAAATTGGATTCAAAGTCTTCAAGAGAGCCCTGAAAAGTTTTAACATTTTAACTCCTGCAGCAAGCTGATAATTATGCACTCAGAGAGTCATTTAGTCTGGCTAGTGCCAAGCAATTTAGGAGGTTGGCGATAGGCTGTGTTGTGCAACTACCAGAAATAGCTTATGCGAATTTGGTAAAATGAAGCAATGCGAAAGGTGGGTATTACGCTGAAGTTTGAGCTCAAGTCAATGAATTCCCCCTATACAACACCTTGAGCGAATGCGGCTAGTTTGGTGATCAGTCATTAGTAAATATCATCGTCTAACTCCAAATCCTGCCTGGTGGCAGCAGCAGAACTCAACGTGCTGCTTTCGACTCACATGGATTAAATATTGAGACCTCCGGCTACTTAAACCGGAATGGGTCAGGCAAATTTAACTCAAGAGTGCGTTTGGATTTACAAGTCAACAGATTTTGTAACATTTGTCATGTTATTCTCCGTAACTTTTTGTTTTACTATACTGACTTCCGTTAGAACACTGTTCAGTTAGCCTCTCAGCAGTAACCATCTAGGATATTGTACACATTTCTAGTTAACTATACTTTCTGGATCTTCTTTGCCGTTCTTCTATCCAACGTGTCCGTCTGCTACGATTTAAGCCACGCCTGTAATCTACATGTTTTTAAGTAATCTAATTCATAACTTTTTGGCATTAACAAAATCCAAAGCACCGCTTTCTAGATTGAATCTCGTTGAAGTGATCGTGAGCCGTCACTGTAATGAACAGAACAAAACCTCCCAATTGACTCGTGACAAAGATTATTTGCATCAGATTCTCTTTTCAATTTAGCTAACTTAGGGTCTACGCAAAGTATTATGGCGTTTTTAAAAGAAGCCTTAAAACCTCACTTTGCATACCTTGGTGGTTCTGGCTTACCCTACATTTTAGGACGCGTAACTTCCAAATAAGGCACTATGGGTCGCATTTACAAAAGGCCCTTATTGGCCCGTTTCATTTTGAGTATTATTCGACTTATTGACGAGGCCGCAAGTACTGACACTACCAGGACTTGGAAGTGATTAAACTTGTTATTGATGGTTTAACACTTCCCGCGCCTTTAGTTTGAGGTGATAACGGTTCCGACTCAGGACCAAAAGTGGGATTGAAACATGCAATGCCCGTCGGCCACGTTAGGCCGCCGGTTCATTAACCCCCCTGTACGTACCACCACTCGTTTTGGTCAGGTGACCTCAGACGCCTGTGTTTACTTATGCATGTTTATACACACACGGGCTCCAGACGCCTAGTGGGTGGCGCGTTGGCAAGTGGCGTCCTCGCATGGGGTGTTCTCCGAACGATTCATGAGCGTGTATGGTCTCTAATGCATTGAACATTGCACTATTGCATATTTGACACATTTTGTATTTAAATACTTAAATCAACTACGCAAAGGACACAGGCAAGGTTGGTGATGGGGCACAATAAACGGCGAGTCTTAAATGACACCGGGGTCATGGGAATTTCACAAGAGTAAAACAAAACGACACCAGAAGTGGTGGTCCCATGCAATGAAGGCCAGATCCGTGGGCAAATAATTTTCCTGACAAAGGCCATAGGTGCAGACATGTTACATGCGGATTGAGAGGAGGGAGAAACGGTCACTTTGTGAAAAGGGTGGTAATGAAGTGGGGCTATCATTAACTGATAGGTCGGTTGAGAGCGTTTTGTGGGCCTCATTCTCAGGAGGCACCCTAAAACAAATATGACTCACTGTGGGACACCGGATTAGCCTGTCTAGAACATTGTGGCATACCAGATGACCTGCCGTAATGAACACTCGCCTCACAATGTTACTGAGCCACCCATGTTTGTCTGGGCCCTGCTGCCATGTGAGTCATCATCCCGTGACTTTTCCACTACCATCCACACCTGTGTCCTCTCCGCCCCACATTATCACATCAAGGTCAACATTGTCGAGAGATTATCACCAAGATTATCAGGACACTTGGTTAACATCCTACAGTTTTCAACCGATATTTGTCACGTCAAAGATGTGGACACTTTCACTATACACTCTCACGATTGCACGTCGAAGTCGTGAACGCAGGCATACTCGTGGATTTTGAGGATGTGGCGGTCGCTCAACAACTGAATGAAGAATTACGGCGGTTCCAAAGACAAAAGACAGTTTTAAATCTGGATGATGTCCTCCTGTGCTGCGTCCCTTCGTTCCTAAATCGCTGCGACTCCAGGCCCTTCACGGTGTCGCTCGACCTGGCCAACCAGCAACAAAATAACCTGATATCCAGCCGATATTTGTGGCGTACTATGAAGAGAAATATCCAACATTGGAACCGAAATTGCGTAAGTTGCCAAACGCATAAAGTAGACAAGGATAGTAAGATAGTTTAACGTTTCTGCCGCTAGTTTCGGTCACGTACTCGTCAATATGGTGGTTTCCTCTTAACTTGTGTTGGCCTTTCCACCCGATGGCAAGATGTTTTCTCCATGCAATACATCACCGACGAGATCTCAGCCACAACGCAGCCGAGGGACACAAACTGAACCAAATCTGCTCCAAAATCTCATATGGCTCCTGGGGACTAATCGCATTCGAACCACCGCCTACCACCATTAATCAAATGGCATATTATAAAGTATTCATGGGCAACTGAAAGCAGCTTTAACAGCTCATAGCGACTCGTCCCGTTATGCGGGCGTGTTACCCCTTGTGCTTTTCTGGTTCCGATCAGCCGCAAAAGAAGACTAGTGCCGTTCGTCAGCAGTAATATATAAACTGATACCCTGTTTTCCTGTCAAAAACAACACCTCTGTTCACAACTCAAAAACAACTGCTCCTCTGCTGTTTCAGTCCTATTTCTTGCTACACCATTCCTCAACAGATGTTTGAACCGAGATTAAGATTTGGGAATCTCGAATGCTAGAGCAATCAGTTGTCCAAAATAGCAGTCTGGTTTTGCACTTTTCCATTTGACGATAATTGTGAAATAATATTTCAGCAAGCCAGTCGTGATGATTTATTTTCATATAAGCTCATAAGTACTTTCACGACAAAATAAATTTAAAAGCCGTAATTTTATGACTACGCCGAACGTTTGTTACGGCAGGTCATTTGGTATGCCACGATGTTCTAGACAGGCTAATCGGGCGTCCTGCGGTGAGTTGTATTTGTTTGACGATGCCTCCTGGGAATGCGACCTCCAATCCATTATTTTATTGTTCTTTTCAATGTCTTTTTGGCATCATTGTTAATTATAACTGCATCGTCGAAGTTGGAAATGTGACTCCTCTGTTTGGATTAGGCAGAGGAAACTTGATAAAAGGTTCATTGTCCCGTTTGCATATTAATATTTACCATCAGAAGGTGTGATTAAACATGATTTTGAAAAATCTAGTTACGAACTGAGGAAAATGAACGCTTCAGATTATTTTTGGCAGTGAGTTTAGTCAAGAAAAATGAGGAATCTGGAGGAGAAGTTGGTATGAGATGGTTGGGCTGTTATTGTTGAGAGATCATTTCGGTGTCGTCGCAGGCATGAACCACTGTTTTCGATCGTCAGTATTACCTTGCAAAGTGCAATTCACCGTCACATACCGTCCAAATTATATAAACACTGCCATCGCCAGATAAACACGCGGCTTAGAGCGTGTATAAAATACCGACACAAACGACGTTCTGCATATTTTCACTTACACACAGACACACAAATACATATGCCTGAAATGCGGTTGTTCACGGGTCTATGTCTTCTGGTTCTCTTGCTACTAACGCATGAAGTTGTCGGTGCTGGAGAAGACAAGGCAAAGGAACTGGAAAGTAAAGTTCTTGAGGTGCTGGAAGGAGACGCAGATGACACGGTGGAGGAGATTGAAAAATATGGAGATGTTGAAACACAGGATGTTCTTGCGCCAAGTGGATGGCGTCGCCTTCGTCGAAGGATCAGCGGAGGCCTCAGAAGGATCTTCAGAAAGCCACGAAGGATTTGCTTCCCCTATTGCCCCACAGGTCCAAGATATCCAGGGCCCAGACCATACTAGATGCACTTTACTTTAGAAGCATCACCCTAAGTTAACTCGAGTCTGAATCTACTTTGAACTTGGAATTTCCCATAATTAAATTTACTACAAAATGACTTCTCAAATTTTATGGAAAATTTAAAGGGCTTGGATTTACGGCCCGAATTAGTAGAGACGAGGCATAATATATTAGGAGACCAGATCATCGATAGAAGCCGAAGATCCTAGACTTTTGCCCCCACTCGTAAAGTGTTACTTTAAACGCGCGATTTGTGAATTTTATGTAGTCTGAATGTTCTTGGACAAAAATGGAGGTAAGTTTAAACAATGCTATATTCTCTGGGCATTACTAGTAGGTGGTAATTCTGCTCATACTCAAGCAAGTCGAACGTCGGAAAATTCGAGGTGATAAAACGGGAAACAGTGCATTTTTCGAGGTATTTTTACATCCGATATTTATGAAGTTCACAAAAAGGTCTGCAATTTTACAAAGAGAGAACGCAAACGGTTCAAATGTAACAAAATAGTTCACTTGCAAGCTGAAGAACAACCTTCAATTTGGCGTAGATTAAGCTAGGTAATTCCGAAGAAATTGCAACCCTAACCTACGTTGACACTCAGCTAAGTCGAGAAAACGATAAAGGTTCAACTTTTTGGTCACCGTTAGACAGGGCGTGTCAAAGTGTGCGTGTGTGGCGACGTTTAAGGGCGCAGACACAGTATACCACGCCTGCCTCAGCCAATCCTCTATCTCTTTGCGTTTGAATGGCCTGCGATGAAGATATGCGGTAAGCCGGAGACAAATGCGCACGAGAAGCAGTATATAATGAGCGACGCATCCAGCGTGGTGGACACGGATGGATAGGGCCTGACGTGTGGTTCTGGCTTGTAATTGGTCAATAAAGCCTGTTCTGTTGTACCATTACTGATACTAGTATAGAATACCCGAGCCCTAGTATGAAGAAGGCTGGTACAACAGAACAGGCTTTATTGACTAATTACAAGCCAGAACCATAGTCAGGCGCCGTTTACCGCACATTAAATACTGATCCTTATTCGTGACTGTCTCCGGTTGGCTGCCTATCTTCCATTCATGCCATTGGAAAGCAGACAGACAGAGGATTGGCTGAGGCCAGGGTGGTCCAATATGTCTGTGCCCCCAGACGTCGCCACTGTACGCTTCGGCCCCACATTATGATCAAGAAGAGAGTAAGGTAAATGGAATCCTTTAATAAAGGCTGAAACAAGCCCCAATCTAGTCACAAACAGGTCGGGAGTAAGGGGGAAAACAGGGTCTTTATATATCCTTGTCCTGGTTGTCCTGTTCTCCCGTCGGTCCGTTTCGCGGCGCTGCAATGGAGACGGAAGACCCGTTAGCGGATTGGCTCTCAGTCCCCGGCGCGTCATTCAATGCCCGCGTGACGCTACGCAGTCGGAAATCGCACCCCCGGTCACATGACGTCGTCACCACGCCGTGCTGATTACGTTCAACCAATGACTGAGCGCCAAGATGGCAACAATCTGCCATCCTACCAATGTAGAATACCCGAGCCCTAATAGGTAAAAGACTGGTATAGCAGAACAGGCTTTATTGACCAATCGCAAACCGGAGCCACACGTCAGGCGCCTTCCATCCGAGTCCACCACGCTGGCCACGCCGCTCATTATACACTGTTAATCAGTCGTGTCCTTATCTGGTTGGCTGCTTATCTTCCTCGCATGTCATTGGAACACAGACAGACTCAGGATTGGCTCAAGCTAGGCGGTCCAATATGTCTGCGCCCTGATCCGACACCACACCACACTACACTAGGGCTCGTGTGATCTACACGTGTGCGTTTATGGTGACCTTTTAAATCGGGATCAATGAAAAGTGAGGATAAGTGCTAATACTAATTCGGATGAAGTAAGCCTGGTTCTTCCCATAAGCTTCCACAAGAAGTCACAATTTTTGTGCGCCAATAAATTTTTACGTGTCATCACCTCGTCGAAGATGTCACTTATTGGGATTGAATAACTCGGAATCAGTCGAACTCGACCCTCACGTGAACAACTGACGACTTATACTAACAGCTAGTCACGTACGTTTGTGTGAACTCGTGGGCGAAACCCGTTCATGTCCGGTTTACGCAATTGCGCAGCTCCCAGTTTGAAGTAACTGATTGTTCAACAGCCGAAATTCCAGGTCATTGGCATTTATTTAGAAGGTTCTGAATTTTACGTTAAAATTATGGTAAATTCCAATTTACTTCATCCAAGATCGCTTAATTTCAAATGAAAAAAAATAATTACTGAGAAGAAATGCAAATAAGAACAAGGGAGGAAAAGTTGTGATGTTTACTACGTAATCAAACGCAGATGTTAATGCTATTTGCTTTATCAAGTTTTACGAGTGATTCTATGGTTACATGATGAACAAAAGCACCGAGGGTTGCGCTGAATTTGATGCAATCTTCTTGAAAAAATTGGTGGAGGGGAACTTGTACTTGAAAACTTCCGAGTCAGGAAACGTTATAAGTGGCCTTGTCCACACAGCAGAATACACTTAAGCATGCTTCTAGAAGACTAGGCCTTGTATGTCTGATGCGCACATCGGCGCAAAACATGTACGGCATTTAATATTTCACCACGAGGCTTCACGCTCAAAATTCCTTGACTAAGTTTGACTAAATGTAGCCGGTCAGCGTGAAAAAAGTTTCAACATACAAACTGTGCTATGGTCTCGCAAAAATAGGGTTAAAAAATGCCAGACTTAGGAAATAGTTATCCCTCTATTGGGTGGAAACAGGGGCAGCAAGCACCCGTGCTGACTTATTAGACGGCGCTTGTCAATAGAGGTTTGAGTCAAGGTGATACGTGTCTGCGCCTCTCTTTAATCAATTGCCCACTATTCACATGTAAACACACCACAAGCACTGTTGACGCCTTAGAAGCACTAAGGTAAATGGAACTGTTGCATAAAAAGAAAGGTTCTAAAGAGGAATGACAAATCAGGTATTATCCTCAATTTAGTGGTACCTGCCTTAAGTCTTTGGTGAAAAAATTTCGGGATGGTGATATCGGTCTACTCTTTTAACGTTCGAAACAGCCGTGTACAAGCAATGGATGCATTGAGCTGGATTGGTCACATTTACTCACATTTTCGAAAAAAGTATTTTTCGTCGTTACTTTTGTGCATTAAAATACTACAAATTAAACGTAATTTAAGAGAAAGTACAGTTACATCATTGTTGGAACAGATGTTATTTAAGAAAAATTTTCGCAAAAATAAATGCAATTATTTATTCGGGGTTTAGCATGTCTAACGGTAGGTTAGAGAATCGGTCCTTCAATTTAAGCGGAGTACTCACACGTAGAAAATCAAAAACACGCACGCTGCATCGAAGTCAGTGTCAAACCACGGCAATTCGCGTTTCCAATCAAAGTGAGACCTGGTCCTGATTGGAAGCAGTGCATCACAAATGTGTGTGCAACGTCGCTCGGTAGACCGATAATCTGTGCCATAATTCAGCTTCATACCAGTTTGGCACTTGATTTAAATAAAAAATGGGAAGTTATATTTCGACGAATGAACCGAACAAACCGGCTATACAGCCACCAAAATCAACTGGAGCAGCGATTGGCATTGATTTCGGGACAACGAAGTGCAGTTCTGCTCACTATCGCGATGGCCG